TCATACACCCCTAGTGCATTGAGCGCCACTCACGTACGCCACGAAACCACCGAACACTTGGGTTAGGCCATTCTAAAACCAGGTCAAGGGCAATGCATATTTTGAATTGTAAGACAGTCGCACCATGACGTAGAACCATGAAATACGTTGAGCCTTATGACTGTCAGTCAAATAGTACTATATTTCACACGAAAATTCTCGCGTACCTGTTCATCCTTCTTGTAGAACATCGAGATGATGAGAATGAGACACGGTGAGACACAAGACTCGCACATTCCTGACCATTTCGAGTTTGTGTCTTGTTTCTTTGAAACGCGAAGAGGCTTACCCAGAAGGAATCTGAGAGCAAAGAAGGCTCCGAAGTTGTTTGTTGAGGCATGCAAACATGAGGATTATTCCCCATACAACAATGTTGCCGCCTTCAATGGGTTAGTTGATTTGCAGCTGATACTATGGTTCATTGATTTCGCTCTCACCGAGATACTTGGCCAACCGAAGTTTCTGCGAGATATAGACGGTCGGAAACTCCCAAAAGAGGTAACCTGTGGTTTGAACAGTTCGTGAGATCTATGCCGGTTTGCAGGATCGAAAATCTTACCCAGGTAGAAGGCCATGGATACCAAGTTGTAGTTCTAGAGTCATATTAGCATGTGCTGGATGTTACAGATGTTATAACCTGCCTGGCCTACGATCGGGAGGCCCATGACACTGCGACATTGTCAATATTCATGTTACCCAACCTCGCTGCGAACAACACTCGCCTCGCATAGTTCAGTGAGGTCTTGTCCCTGTTCAAGGGTAAGCATAAATGATTATTTCGTACATTATATGACGAACAAAATATTGACAGGAATAAACAGCCGCTGAAATGGTGGGGATGACAAGGTCCTGTAGATCCGTCGATATTTAAGTCAAAATCGCCAAAGTGCAGGAAACAAAAAATACCAGCTTGCGCCTGAGCTTTCGGTTATATTCCTCACTGAAGTGTGCCGTTGCTCGTGCACCGACGAGCTGAAGAGCCGCATCACCGTCAGAAGTATCGAGTGTATCTAGCCCGAGCTTTTTCGTCGTAGGTCTCGAGCTGCGAGCTCTTCTCGACTTCGTCCGGAGTCTTCGCCGCACTAGTTTCGGAAGACATTGCACTAGCGCGTAATCAAGACGCCCCGAACATTGCATTAGCTTCTTATCTGAATCCTCTCCCAGAAAGAAATGCATCCGCGACAGCTTGGTGTTATGACTGTGCCTGCAAGATAAAATTATAGCTCAAACGACCTGTACTGCAATTGAGGGAAAAGATAAGCAAGCCAACATGTTCCACGAGGAAAACGAGAGATAACTTACACGAAAAGACAAGGACGGACTCACGGCAAGCCGACGAGACCGTTTTGTTCAAGGTCTTCTCACGAACGCTACGTAGAGACTTTGATGATTTATATCGAGAAAAAAATAGGGTACAAATGAGTATATGGTATGAAAGTTCGTAAGATAATACAGAAACAAGTAAAGCGACTATAGTTTCTGAATAACGATGGCTAAAGCTGCCCCGCCCTAGAAAGCTACCGTGTGAGTGACATGACACACGGAATTGAAAGTTACTTACCCCGTTGCAGATGCCTGCTGCACCATACTCCCCGGACTTTAGGGCGTGAACCAGAGATACCACAATGTGAGAACCCGAACCGCTTCATCACATATTTCAGGCCATCGCCTTCTTCAATGCAGATCAATATGATGAGGCAAACTTGCTCCTCAAAGAACTTGCTGCCAGTTGTCCGAATGCTGATACTCGTGCATGTCATGTTGTGCAAGTAAGTATCATGTAGCCACGCTGAGTCCGAGGGCGTAGCTATTTTGACGCGGTCCTACCGCGCCTGCCGCGGTCGTGACGCGCATGTGACGCACATGTGACGCGCTACTGCAACGTTTTACATTTGACTTCCACATCAAGTTGTATGGGTTCATGATCATTCCTTCATTGATTTTATTCACCATAGGCACATATACTACCAGCTAGTCCTCAGCTAATGACTATTTTCTTGGCACTGACGCGCCAGTGTTCTACATTAAGGACACATACTACTAGTCGCATCAACCAATGACTATGTCTCTTCCTCCCTCTCTGGACCCTCTCGAACTGGGTGACTGCAGGACCCAGGTCACGTTCGGCGTGAACATGGTGCAAACCGTTCTGCAGCCGCCATTTGATATTCGGCAAAGAAGTTTTGGCGGCAGGACCGCGTCAAGCCCAAATTTAGCCATCATGATTAATTAGTAGCTCAGCTGAGCGTCTACGCAGTTCTCGCACCTATGCACACCCACCAAACACCCACAGTCTTTTGATAGGTCTGACTAGGGAGACTACTATATTCGGTGCTCTACCACAGTCTGCCTCGGCCGTACTTAATACCATCAACCTCCAGTAAAATGCCTCAGCTCACCCCAAACACCACACCCTTTCGAGCGTTTAAAGATCATACAAAAGCCATACGCGCTGTAGCAGTTTTCCCTGATGGCCGACGTATGGTGACGGGATCGTTTGACAGGACGCTTTGTTTGTGGGATTTGAAGATAGGTGTTATGTTGAGGAAGATGGATGGGCATCGCGAATAGGGTGACGACATTGGCGGTATCACGAGATGGGCAATTGATAGCAAGCGGTGATCAGAGAGGAGCGTTCATCGTTTGGCACGGGGAAACTGGCGGATATCTTACCCAATCCACCAAAGCACACTCTAATCGGATTTACGCTCGGACTTTTCTCCCGATGGAACAGTACTGGCCAGTGGTTCAGAAGACAAGACGACCAAGCTATGGTCCACGACGACATGGCAGCTACAAGGAATTCCAATCGAACGTAGAAATTGCGTCCGCTGCGTTCAGTATTCGCCGTCCGGCGAGCTTCTGGCAACTGCAACATACATCGATATTCAAATTTATAATCCAAACACGAGGAAATGCGTCGCAGACTTCAAGGGCCAGATTCCATACAACTTTTCACTCGCGTGGACGCCCGATAGCACACGACTTCTCACAGCAGGAGATAAAATTGATCCGACCATACGGGAGTGGGATACAATGACATGGAAGCAGGCCGGTGATCCCTGGACAGGCCACACTTCAGATATCTCTTCCATTGCCATTCATCCCGCGGGCACACTCGTCGCTTCTGCATCTTATGACAAACATATTCGTCTCTGGCGACTCTCAGATCGACGAACCATTGCCGTTTTCCAGCACTCAGGCTGGGTAGGATGTGTCACCTTCTCCATAGATGGCAAGTACATCCTCAGCGGAGGTTCCGACAAGATGATCTCAAAGTGGGCAGTACCCAAGGATGCTTGACCTGAATCAAAGGTATTTTACTGTTAATTTTCTGCCCCTTCGCCATGCCATTGCGTATCTTTGAATGACAAGGCTCGAGTCTTTGCAAACCGCAATATGGCAAACTCGGAAAAATCGCTATGGGAGGATGTGCTTCTCGACGCGCAAAAGGTGAGATGACATCTATTCGAGTAGTTTCATAGCCAATGCTCACTTTGATCACACATAGGTAATCGAATTGAACCCTTTGTCGCATGTTGGATACCGGTTGAAGCATACAGCGCTTCATGGCGCACAACGCTACGATGAAGCTATCGAGACCTTCAAAGTGATGCTTACCAAATTGGACAATGCTCACGATATGCAGATACGAAGTAAGCCCTAGTAGGCAACACACTGTCTAGACGCTCAACTCTTTCCTCAGAGCTGCGCGAGCAGTATGCCAGCCCCTCCGAAGCAGATGGTGTCATTCAAAAGGTCATAAATATTCAGCTTGACACTGCCCCGCTTCGTCTGCTCGACACCACCACTGGGATTCTATGTGATCGAGAAACGCAGATAAGCGCTTTCAAAATGACCGCTGAGTACAAGCAGCTTCTGTTATCGACTATGAAGCATGCAGACCTCCCACGGGAGATAATCGCAGATGCAGTGATGAAATACTTCGGTTGCGTCATGTTATCGCATAGATGGGAAGGAAAGGAGCCACTGCTGCACGACATCAAGGACAAGGCCGTATTCCAGTTGGATGCAGCCGGTGGTCTCAGGAAGTTGCAGTTGTTCTGCAAGAAAGCTTACCAGGCAGGGTTTCACTGGGCGTGGGTTGATTCGTGTTGCATCGACCAGAACAACAATGTCGAACTCCAAAAATCGCTCAACTCTATGTTTGCCTGGTACTACCATGCAGCACTTACCATCGTCTACCTCTCTGATGTTCCGCCTTCGTCCAAGTCTGGCGCACTGACAAAGAGTGCTTGGAACACCCGAGGATGGACCGTCCCAGAATTCCTAGCTCCTAAAGTTATTCTCTTCTACCAACAGGATTGGACTCTATATCTCGACAATGATTCTCACAACCACAAGGAGTCTGTCGAGATCATGCATGAGTTGGAGGATGCGACGGGTGTAGATGCACGCGCACTCATTGCCTTCCAACCAGGGATGAGAGACGCCCGAGAGAAACTCAAATGGGCGTCTACGCGTGTCACTACTGTGGCGGAAGATATTGCGTACTCACTGTTTGGTATCTTCGGCATCCAACTACCTATCCTTTATGGCGAGAATAAGGAAAATGCACTCGGGCGGCTCCTGCAGGAGATCGTAGCTCGATCGGGCGACATTACAGCCCTCGACCGGGTCGGACAACCATCCACGTTCAATAGTTGTCTCCCAGCCAACATTTCATCATACGCAGCTCCTCCATGCGCCCTCCCATCTTTGTCTGAAGACCAGATTCAGACAGCCATCTCTTCGCTGCGACATACTGTGGCTGTGGAATTGGCTTTAAATTTTTATGACCGGCTTGACAATATGAGCGCTGCTCGCTTCGCGAACTGCAGACTGCATCTGCCTTGCATAGCGCATCGTGTCACAGAAGTCAGACGGAGGCAGGATCTAGCCCAGGCAACTCATTTCACGTATGGAGTAAAGGCGGATGGGCTTCGTGACCTGTTGATCACCACCGAAGAGACGCTGGTTCAATTCACGTGGGCGAGGCCCACTCGACAGACATTCTTGCTTGTCCGTCCATGGGATCGTCGTCTCCTTGAGCTGCCTGACTTTGGAGAGCAGCCTGCCTTCGATGATGACACAGTTGATTTGTCCGATCCCGGATCTCCGTTAAATCACTCGCGTCGTTCTGCAAAACGGGAGCGGATTGATCTGGAGTGTCGCTCACAAGCATTGCGATTGATCGTTCGCCTTGGACAACCATTCGGCGCATTTTTACTCGCACAGCAGCGCGGCGGGGAATACAAGAGGATTGCGTCAGATCGTGATATCATTGCACAATTCAAAGATACCGCTTCTGTTCACAATATGATGGACATTAGGACTCTAGAAATATTGTAGATGTATGCATTTTAGTTTTGAAGAGTCCTAGAGATGCCGCAGGTTACCCATATCGATTGTTTATGTTTGTTTACGCTTTTTTGATCCGCTTTTGTATTGCTTTGCTTGAGCCTTCCTTTGACGTTTGACGCGATGCTGCTGGAATTGCCGAGGGGACAACTATTGTGTTTTGTGGATTTTGTGGCTAGTCATACCTGCACAGTTCACTAGCGGTGGACGGACGACATGGGCAGTATAAATATGCAGAATGCCGTCAGGCTCATCACTGCTAAGCCTTCTACAATTCAATGGTGAGCATTTCTCTCTATTTCTCTCTCCTTTTCGCCGACAACTTGTCTAGCCTAATTCTACCGCACCCCCGCACGTGAGCTTGCACCTTCCTCCTGACTTCTCATCCTTTGGAGACGTTTGCGTCCAGCCGGATGCCACCAACAATACCTCCGACTCAGAAGACGAACATACACTCACTGCTTTCGGCGACGTATCCCTCACCGAAGAACAAATGCTTGACTCAGCTACGAATGAGATCCGTTGCCTTAACCGTTTGCGTTTAAAGGTGAAGCGCCCGCCATTTCCCAAGAATAGGTCGAGTGTCCAGTACAGTCCAAAGGTGCGCATCGTCTTTGCATAGAAAATCGTACTTTTTAGTGACGGTCTCCGACAGAGTCCAGCTCGGAGATTTTTTGGCTCATCGGGGTCTTCACCAGCTCTTTCTCCTTTGTCCTCATCCTTCTTGATCGATGCTTCAAAGAGCTCATCGCGATCAGACAAGCGACGTTCTACTCAGCATTCACAACCAGACGCTATCGAGGTAGAAATTCGAGCTCGCTGCAGTTGACTCACGAGAGTCTATCCCCAGTGGCTCGAGTGTTTCATGCAACTACGAACCAGGGCAGTCAATGATTGTAAAGGATGTTCCTTCCGTTGCTGAGGCAGCCACCGGATGGAGGAAACTGCCTCCTAGGTTGCCAATTCCGAAGTGGGATGCCGATGATTGAGTTGCCTGCAGAATACTTATTACTTGTATTATTAACATGCTGTATCGCTATCAATACATACCTGGCTCCAGGGTACAACGAAAGGTCCAGGGATGAGTGCCATGCTTACATATTGATCAACTGACTTCCCCACAGAACCTCGGTAACACGAGCTTGGCCTTTATTCGCATACGATAGCGAGGTTGATTGGAGACTGGGGGCTGGGATGTCGCTACGATATGGTACATATAATAGACAGGAGTCTGAATCAGTCAAAGAACACATTCGGAGAATGTGATATCATGTACAATTACATCCACAGATTGGGGAAGTATGAGGTCTGAAGACAAAATAAATAAAGAACAAGAATCAACAAAGATCAAAGAAAAAATCAGGATGACGCGCTGCGTAATAGACAATCGAGCGAGACGATCTGACCTAATTTTGAACATCCCTACGCAGACGCCCACGCACACATTCTGCAACATCATTTTGAAGCTCTGCCTCGTCAATTGCCATGGAAGAAGGCGAGTTGTTCCATATCGCATGCACGGCGTCCTTGCAAACAATGTAAACTCCCTTAGGAGAGATATTGTTGCTCTCAAGGTTCGTTTGCACATTCTGGTACGTTTTGTTGACGAACTCCCTCCGGGTTTCAGTTTTGATTTGCTGGAAACGAGCACGTGTCTCATCGTCAGCATGAAAAGGGTCGAACCCTCGTTGCATCCTGTCCAACACCATATTGTTGATGTGCTGATCTGACTTGGAGCGAACAATGAACACCTTAATGTTGGTGAACTGCTCGCACGCCCGGAGAATGGCGAGGTCGGAGTCCGAGAAACGATTGTCGAATAGCACAATGATGCAGTCGAAGATGTAGAGGCCCAAGATATTGAAGTACTGCCAGTCAGGCATATTCGAAGTGCCCGCACCGGGAACGTCATACCAAAAGATCTGGGAGTCTGGGCGTGGATCAGTGTATCTCGTGACTGCATCGGTAGTTTCGACAATCCCCGTAGGAGCAGCGATGGGGTCGTTGTTGGACAGGCCCCGGACGGCATTGATAAAGGATGACTTCCCGCCTCCGGAAGAGCCAACGACCGCGAGGTGGAGGAAGCCTGGGCTGTAGCGATACTCGGTCTTCATCCGAACAATATCCGCCTCCGACGGACGGCACTCGGGGCGAACTCCTTCAAACCACCGACGCTCTGTCGCGAACCTCGCTTCCTCTGCTCTTTGGAGAGCTTCTGCAGCTTCAGCTGCCGCCCGCTCAGATTCTTCCTGACGCCTCTGTGCATTTGCTGCTGTTCTTGCAGCACGACTGGCTCTTCTTTCTTCTTCAACATTGCGCTCCGCCGTATTTAGTGATTGAGACGCTGCGGCTAGATCCCTTTTTGTTGCCCAAAGTTTGTATCCCAACACAGCTGTAGCAAGGAATGAGGTCGGAACGGCTCCTGTAACAGCAGCACCTGGGTCGGGAATAGCACCTGGGCCTGGAATAGCACCTGGGCCTGGAACACCACCTGAGTCTGCAGACATAGCAGCTACTAGCCGTGAAAAAGTATCTGGGGACATGCTGCACCAACAAAAGAGAGAGGGGGGATTAACACTGAGAAGTGCTGTGTGCTAACGTGTTCTCCGTCTACGTGCGGTGCGACCTACTAGTAGTGTAGACCAAGATTAACTGACTATGGACTGCGGAGCTTGAAGCTTCGCTCAGCCTGGATGGATTGTAGTACTGTGGATACAGTGACAAGAACTCTGCAGGTAGGGTAAACGATTTGGACACAATTAGCAAGGGGGTTCTTATAGTACTTGTCGAGACAAACACGAGGCCAGCATGAATCAGACCTAACACCAGAAGCTTCCATTGTCGTCGGCAAGCTGTACAGTTATCACATAGAAGTTATAATGTGTTACGCCGAGTGCATGTGCAGGGAGAACATGCATGCACCTACCAATAGGAGGCTATAGATCTGATAGAGATGGTTGATCATCATGCACAAGTTGCGCTCAAGCCATATTTCTGAAAGTGCATATAATAGGGACGTTCAAAGTTGGGCGCCCACGCCCAACGCCTACACCCACGACCCCCCTTGCCCATATACCACTTCCCGTTTTGTACTTGAACGAATGTATTATATAATCAATGATAACTGACTACACTTAACACTGTCCGAAAACACATATCACACTCAATGGCCCGTTTTCGAACATCACGTGAGCAATACCTTCACTCATATCTCTTGCTTATGGTTCTATGTGCTTTGTTTCAGCCAGAAGTGACCCTCGAAGAGGCAGCAGCACAGCTGCACTGTGGCTTATCTTGCATTCTTGCTATTCAACAAACTCATTATCTACAAGAGCGCTCCCCTGTGGCAAAAGCTGGCACCCTACACATTGCTTGGGAATATGCAAATTCTCCGTCCGACCACTTTCACTTTATTCTGAGAAACATAAGTAACATACCCCAAATACACTGTGCCCTTGGAGTTGTGGTCATATTAGGTCCATCAGCGGGGACATAGCATTCGAAAAATTTGTTGTCGGAGATGTTGCCATTGCATCAGACTGGACACCTTCACCAGTTGTCCAGAGACGTCAAGCATGCACCTTGTATTTTTTTGTTAAGCTGCATGATGGACTTGTAAGGTAGAAAATAATGAGAGAAGCACAACACTCACTACTCGTACTTTCGTTTGACTCGGTCCCCCATTGCAACAGCATTCTGGCTGTGTAATTGTGGGAAAACAGAAGCTGCCATGCGCTGATATACTGTCACTTTGCTATCACCTGACGTGTTCTGGCACAGAAACATCATATCTCGTATCATATAACAACTTTAACTCACTCACCTCACCCTTCTTCTGCTTGCCTAGAAGCACGACTCTGTTCTCTGATAACTTAATCTGCACCAATAGCTGCCAGACTAAGTCGTCAGTCCAAACGATCTCTGGAATTGTGACGCCGCTATCCTTCTTCTTCGCCATATGCGCAGATCTGATTGATGTGACAGTGAGTACAAGGTGACAGCTAATTGTTAAATTTTTAGATTTACGTTCATATTATCTAATTATGCAAACTACATTTTAGGTGATGTTCCGTGGGCGAATGGGTCATGGGCGTAGGCGCCCAACTTTGAACGTCCCTAATGCTACCAACTAAGTAGGAGTTCCCGGATTGACCCGGTGACCTCAGGTGGGTGCTTCATTTGAAAGATATGCGCACCAGCCCAAGAGTGGACTCTACTAGCCACACCATGATGATTGGCTGACAGTTTGCAGGCACATTGCAAGTATGCAAAAAAGACAACGACACAGTCAAGTCAGATTTCGCATCATCAACACGAATAACAGCTGGGATATTCGGCGAAAGATCCAAGGACTTTATAGGGATACATAAGTAGTTGAAGAAGTCAGATCAATAGGTGCAAACGGAACAATTAGAAACAGGCGTTCAGATTCCAGAACTGTGCAAAACACACACCTCAAACAGACATGAGTCACATGACAAATATGTTTAGGGCTGGAGTTAATGCATTTTTATGCCAAAAGTGAAAAGATGAGAGGATGACACCAGCAAAACCCACTGACGTAGCGGGAATCTCCTTCAACTCTATGCTGGAGCATCGTCCTCAATATCTCATCCGACCAGCAGGCATATGTCACAGTGCACATTCAATCCCCTTGAATAGTATGAGTAGTACATGTTCTCGCTTGCTACCGTACCTGGCTACCAGCCACATTGTGCCAGTGCCCATGTCCCAACTGTGACATGTGTACTAGCACAATTCCAGGAGCCATCAAGATTTATCAAACAACCTAATGACTGTCTTAATCCTTTTATCCAACGGGTCTGTGTATGCATGATTAGTACCTGTTGAGTGGTTGGCTTTTGAATTGACTGTCATCCTCGAGTCTCGATCGTGCACTCATCAAATCTGACACATCCCACATCTCCTACCAGCTCACTAACTCTATCTACAATACGCACCATTGATGCTGGCTACTGTTGGACACATATGATAGTAGTAATGATCCAAGCGCAAGTACTAACACTGACTAACGGGAATAGCCGGAATGCCGGATGTTTGTCAGCGACTGTGCAGATCAAGGACAAATGGTTACTGTACATTACCGAGACTTGGTATATATACTGTGTTCATACTTTACATTAGAGTCAGTCGAAATAATAGAAAGAAATTCCTACTTTACCTCTCATCCCTACTCTGCTCATAACCACAGGTTATGAGCCCTGACATGTCTACAATGGAATCCACATCATCATTGCTCTATAACATCCCAAAATTAGCTGAAGATGGCAGCAATTGGATTACGTACAAAGAGCGTGCACAGACCGTGATCAGAGCATGGGGACTAGTGCGATATATGGATGGACGAGCAATAGAACCAGCCCTGTTCAAGAAGGACACTAATGGAGATCTAGTCAAGGATGATGGAACAAAGCCAAGTCAAACAGAGATCGAAGACTTGGAGAAGAAACAGGACGAGTTTTACCAAAAAGACTCACTCGTCAAGCAGTACATATTCAGCACAATATCAGATCAGATGTTGTTGCAAGTGCAGAACACAGGAGGAGCTTCAAAGGTATGGACAGAGATATGTACCATACATGAAGGGAAGACCGAGCTTGTACAAGTCGATTTGTGGCGCCGACTGCAAGAAACTCGATGCGACGAAGGAGGAGATATAAAGAGATATTTTGGAGAGTTGCTCCGAATCCGCGAAGCGCTGGCTGGAATGGGAGCATCTATTGCAGATCAAGATTTCTATGTGATAATTATGGGATCCTTACCTGAATCCTATAGACCCATACTATCATCCATAAACGTCGCAGCGCTGCATCTCCAAAACCATCCTAATGCCATATGAGCTGATAATCGTCGTCAGCAAGGAGTACGAACACAGGACAGTTAGCAGACCAAAAATTGACAAAGAAGACTGGGAACAGCGCATTCTCAGCAAGAACAAACACACGAAGAGGTCAAACAACGAACAAGAACGAAGACATTACCTGCTATAATTGTGACCTGGAAAGGTCATTACAAAGCCGACTGTTGGAGGAAAGGAGGCGGAAAGGAGGGACAAGGACCAAGGCAGATGATAAAAGGCCAAAAGGAAATGGCAAATACTGCAGACAAGGTCGAAAGAGCCAATGACTATGCATTTGCGGCATCAGACCTCGTGAATGTTGCGAAGAAGATAGACGTACCAGTTGAGAAGCGCTGGAGCAATTATTGACTCTGGCGCTACATCACATTTCTGCCCTGACCGCTTGAAGTTCATAACATTCACCTCCATCGAAGCACAAGATGTGCAC